AGAAAGATGTATTTTATTCTTATACTCTAGACTACAAACATTCCTAAATTAATCTAAATTTAATGTAATTCTTATAAAAATATTAACAGGGTTTTTCTTAGAAAATGGGCAAGCTGATCCTAAAATACAAATGAAAAATTAAACAGCAAAAGACGGCCAAGAACATCCTGAAAAGATGAATGGGAAAGGCAGTGAGCCTTGTCATACATGAAAAACTATCATTTCAAGCTACCGTCATTAAAATCATGTGGCATTACCTCATTTGCAGAGTGATCAGTGAGAGACAGGAGAGGACAGAAAGTCTCCCCACCAACCCCTGGGACATACAGGGAGTTAGTGCGTGATGTAAACTGCATTTCAAATCAGTGGGAAAAACATGGATTATTCAGTAAATGGTTTGAGAATAATGAGATTACCCCATGGTGGGGGAAATACTAGATAGAGATGAATCTCTTCCTCTTTCCTATACAAAAAGTGCATCCCTGGGAGCCCAAATATTTTAATGTAACAGAGAAAAAAATTCCCACAAAAGTTTTAGAAGAATATGAGTGTTCTTTTTTTTTTTTTTTTTTTCAGTAATGTTGAGTATGGGCAAAGCTGTTCTAAATATTACAGGAAGACCAGAAACCATTCATTTAACCACATAAAAATAGTAAATACTAGAATGAAAAATAAAATGCCACTTAAAGATTCAAAAGGCTAAGGATAAAGTGAAAAGGCATACTTGCTGTCTACTTCACTAAGGGCACTATCTTTCATATGTAAAGAGTTCCTATAGATCAATAAGAAATGGACTGATAACACATAAAAATGAACAAAGTGCAGTTCAAGTGGTTTCTGGAAATGGCTTCTCAACACACAGACCCTCAACCTCAGTCAAGGTAAGAGAAATGCAATGTTAACAGAGTTGATTTGATATCATTTTTCAACTGAGAGATTGGCAGTGACCAGAAAGTTTGCAGGGCTCCTAGGAAACAGATCTGAAGCATCCTTCGAGTCCTGTGAATTTGCACAATGTCTGGGGGAGTGATTTGACAGTGTCCATAAACAATTAAACATGCATTTTTTTTTAACCTAAGAAAGCTACCTTTGACATTACAACAAATTCACTTACATGAGTTCACAATCATGTACTTCCTAAGATGTACAAGATGGACCACATTTTCCCGACACTGAAGACTTGACCACAGCTTAAGTGGTTTGGTTGAATACATGATGGCCCAGGTTGCAATGGATCTTCTGCCTTGTTAAAAAGAATGAATGTCTCAAGGGTCTTTTTGTTTACTGACACTGCCCAGCATGTACTGAAGCTCAGTAAACAGTTGCAGAATAAATCACAGAAAAGCCTCTCTCCTTAAGAAGTTAGAGATTGGCTCTCATACCAACAACTACCATACTATTCCAAACACTATTATTTCAAAAATTTATAAAGTATTTTATTCTATGTTCTATTAGTCCTTAAATATCATTTCTTTTTTTTTTTTTTTTTGAGACAGAGTCTTGCTCTTTCACCCAGGCTGGAGTACAGTGGGGCGATCTTGGCTCACTGCAACCTCCGCCTCCTGGGTTCAAGTGATTCTCCTGCCTCAGCCTCCCAAGTAGCTGGGACTACAGGTGTGCATCACCACACCTGGCTAATTTTTCTATTTTTAGTAGAGTCGGGATTTCACCATGTTGGCCAGGCTGGTCTCAAACTCCTGACCTCAAGTGATCTGCCTGCCAAGGCCTCCAAAAGTGCTGGGATTACAGATGTGAGCTGCCATGTCTAGCCCTTAAATAACTTTTTAATCATCATTCCCAAAATCATTGGACTTTCTTTACATAGAAGTTCCAAAATAATGAAACAAAGAGTTGTTTTACCCAGGTATTTAATGATCCAACAAGCCATATAATTTAAACTTTAGTTTTCAAATAACCCACTCTCAATAAAATCATGTTTATTTTTATGTCCATGAGAAATTAAAATGAATCATCTACAAAGATGGACATCCACCCTCCACAAAAAAATAAGTCTTGTTGACACATTTCTTGGAAGTATAGATTTATTTGTAAATAAGCCCTAATTTGACATATCTTAAAAAAAAAAAAAACCTTTTTTTTTTTTTTTTTTTTTTTTTTTTTTTTTTACTATTCTTATTATTCTGCTTCTTGTTTAATGAGCCATTTCTGTGGATAGTATGATTATAATACTTACAAAAATGTCAATGTTATTCATAGAATGACAACAGATTTAATGTATTTTTTCTTTTTATTATTCTAAAGTTAGTTGGTGTGAAGAATCTGACTTCGAAGACAATTCTTGATGATTCATTGGGGAAGACTAGAAACACCACCCTCTAACTTTATAACAAGTGATGGTCACTCTGCAAAGCGGCCAGGCATGCTCGTTAATCCAGCTTTCAGCCCTTGAAGATTCACCAGACTAAGGATTAAGTGAAAAATAATATGTACCACCTACTTCACTAAGGGCACTACGTTTCATATGTAAACAGTCCCCTATAGATCAATAAGAAAAGGACCCAACACCTGTATAAAAACAAAGGGCAATTTAAATGTTTTCCAGAAATGGAACGCAGATGATTTTATGAAGATAGTCCATTTGATATCATTTTTCAACTAAGAGATTGGCAATAATCAGAGAGTTTATAGGGCTCTTAGGAAACAGATCTGAGACATCATTCAAGTCCCAGGCACTTGCGAAACTTCTATGGGGAATGGACTGACAGTATCCTTAAAAAATTAAACATTCACATCCGTGGTCGGCCCCCTCAAGGGTGGACAGGATGAGGCATTTGTGATGTGTCAATACATCCTGGAGAATCTAGAAGGTCATCTCCACACACCTGCACCACAGGTGGCATCCTATAGGTATTTGCTCAAGGAAGCAATGAAAGGGTAAGATAAATAACCAAGGGGTTCCTGCCACTGTATTCACCCGATTTCACACACTCCAAGTTACCACTAGTATCAAAATCAGAAGAAATAACTCCAATGCCAGAAAAAGCCAGCTGGCTGTGCCCATCAATATCCTGAGAATGATGGGAGGTGAAAAGGTGCTGAATCCTCAACAGCAGGGAGACTGCTTGGATGACCCCCAACCAGAACTGAAATTGAAGGCAGAGTTTCTGAGCTTAGAAATGGGAAAGACCCAGCATTTATGACTGACTCCTTCATCCAACCTCTTCCCCCAAATCAGACGATTTTTGACACGGGTATGGTAACACCATACCTTTGCGTAGACAGATTCATGGGAAACCTAGCTTTTGTGACGTGCAGCAGTTTTTAACACCATCATCAGTGGCAAAATGAACATTCCCTTGCAATTGCCTTTCTCTGCATGACTATTTTAACAACTTCACGTTAGCCTGCCTGTGCGACAGAGGACATACTGATGATATCCTCATTTTCCGGTGGAGGAAAGTTTATGAAGTCAATCCCATTCCGAATATCAGGACTTTAGATCTCTATGAGATTAGCACAAAATGCAAGTGGAGCCCTCTCCAAGCTTTCATAGAGACATGTATTTTGAAAGCCTTAATGGGGAAACAATTCTTAATGTGGAAAAGTTGTCATGTATTGTAGAGAAGAGAAGAGGCTTTCGGTTAATCCCAACTTGTTAGAAAGGGTACGAAGGTTTTCTCAGCCACAAGGCTATGTTACCCCCACATTAAACCCAGCTTTCACATCGAAGTAGTTCCACACTGTGTAAACACTGGACAGACTGTTCGTAAATTTGTGATATTCAACCCATATGAAACTCAAGAGAACACGGGGAAGTATCTAGGTGCAGGTGAGTATCAGGATGCAGGAAGTACCTGGATGCAGGGAAGTATCTGGAAGCAGGGAGTATCTGGACTCAGAGGGTACCTGGATACAGGGGGTAGCTGGATACAGAGAATATCTGGATGCATGGAACATCTGGATGCACGGAGTTCCTGGATACAAGGGAGTATCTGGACGGAGGAGAGTAACTGGATGGGAGGGAGTATCTGGATAGAAGGGAGTATCCAGATGGAGGAAAATATCTGGAAGGGGGTGTGTGGAAGGAAAAGCATACATGAATAGAAGAGAGTAACTGGATGGAAGAAAGTATCTAGATGAAAGGGAGTATCTGGATGGAGGAGAGTATCTAGAAGGAAGGGAGTATGTGGGTACAGGAGAGTAACTGAATGGAAGGGAGTACCTGGATGGAGTATCTGGATGCAGGGGGCATCTGGATGCAGGGAGTATCTGGATACAAGGGAGTATCTGGATGAAGGAGAGTATCTGGAAGGGAGTATGTGGATAGAGAAGAGTGGATGGGAGTATTTGGATGAAGGAGAGTATCTAGATGGAAGGGAGTAATTGGATGAAAGGGAGTATCTGGATGGAAGACAGTATTTGGATGAAAGGGAACATCTGGATGCAGGGAGTATCCAGATATAGGGAGTATCTCAATGGAGGAGAGTACCTGGATGTGAGGAGTATCTGGATGCAGTAAGTACCTAGATTCATAGAGTATCTGGATTCAGGGGAACAACTGGATGCAGGGAGTATGTGAACTCAGTGGGGGTACCAAAATGCAGGGAGTATCTGGATGCAGGAAGCACCTGGCTATAAACCAAAATCTGGATGGAGGCGAGTATCTGGATGTAGGGAGTAGCTGGATTCAGACGAGTATCTGAATATACAGGAGTATCTGGAAGCAGGGAGTATCTGGACTCGGGGCAGGGTACCTAGCTGCGGGGAGAGTATCTGGAAACAAAGTATCTGGATGGAGAAGAGTATCTGGCTGGGAGTATCTGGGTGCAGAAGAGCACCCGTCCCAATGTGGCAGGACGCAGGAAAGGAAAAGAGCCCAACAAGGACATTTTGGAAATAAAGAGCTAACACTTAGGCTGAAAATTTGCCTTAAAGCCCCAGAAAAAGAACTTGGAACCCATCCTGTAAATTACCACAGCCTTCTTTAACATGCACCCATGGCAAAACACTTAAGTTAAAAAAAAAAAAAAAAAAAGTACTTGGTTTCTAATTTCTTTTTATTAGTCTGACATGAAAAAGAAATATCCCTACAAATGAAAGAAATATTGAAGAAACAAATTGAAGGGCTTACCTTATTTTAATTAAAAAAAAAAAGTCAGGGCTACCAGGGAAGTTTCAGACGTGCTCAATGGACACGTGATTTGTAAACAGCCGAGATTCTGGGGGACAGGGGGTGCCTCGGTGGGGTTGACATTTGAGTTACGGGGACTTAATAATGGCCAGCCTTTCACATCCCATGGGAAACCCCTCTCCCACGGGCCTTGGAGAATGGGGGTCCAAGTGCCTATCCCCCTTTGGATGTTTCATCATTAGTAAACATCATCCGCCCAGCAACAACAAGCAAAGCACATCGCAAGATTAAAACAAAGAATCCGCCGTGAACAGAAGGCCTCCGTCTCTGCTCTCACGCAAGTGTCCTTCGGGGAGGAGCCTCAGGCAGCTGTTCTAACCCTGCCGCCAAGCCTGGGCTGTTTCTGCCGACAATCTTCTATTTCTCTAAAAGAGTACGCTGAACTGTGAGACAGAGAGAAGAGAAAGTCATTCCCAGTTCCCTGAGCACTCACGTGGACATAGTTCCTAAAACTTTCAGGAGCCGGTGGTTTTATTTCTGCATAAGAAAAATGGGCCCAAAACTCATCACGAAAAAGCAAAACCCTAACTCTCAATCAACTCAATCAATTTCATTGAATGATGCCATTCATACAAAAAAAAAAAAGGGTACTGCAGAAAAAGCAGAAGGAAAACGGCAGAAGGCAATTTCCACTAACGACGTCACAGAGACAGTAACAAATGCCTATAACTTACCAAATGGAAGAATAAATCTTCTAAATGAGAGTGTGCAGTTTTTACTGATTTGCAATTATGCCAGGCTGAGATTTTCTGGTCCGTTCATTTAAGTTTTGGAAACTTTATTCTGCATGTCAGTCTTAAAATTATTTTGGAGGGAGAAGCTGGGATTTGGAAGAAGGAATTAAGAACAATGGTATTTTTCTTCCAAACAGGCTGGCAGAAAACACTGGAATGCCAAGCCCTTCAGGTAATGAGGGCCCCACACATATATACCAATGTACTGGCTACTGAAGCCAGACAACTTCATTAGTGGGCAGAAGAAATCTTCCTTTTCTCTTCAAGATATAGCTTGTTCTAAACATCTTTCCCTGACTCGAAAGAGCACTCAACAAGACACTAACTTTCTTTTATTATTATTATTATTATTATTTTTGAGACAGAGTTGTGCTCTTGTTGCCCAGGCTGGAGTGCAATGGCACGATCTTGGCTCACCACAACCTCCGCCTCCCGGGTTCAAGCGATTCTCCTGCCTCAGGCTTCCAAGTAGCTGGAATTACAGGCATGTGCCACCACGCGTGGCTAATTTTTTTTTTTTTTTTTTTTTTTTAAAGTAGAGACAGGGTTTCTCCATATTGGTCAGGCTGGTCTCGAACTCCCAACCTCAGGTGATCCGCCCGCCTCAGCCTCCCAAAGTGTTGGGATTACAGGCATGAGCCACCGCATCTGGCGAGACACTAACTTTCTAGAAGTCTCTATCTTTAAAACTGAATGCCAGGCATGGTGGCCCATGCCTGTAATCCCAGCACTTTGGGAGGCCAAGGTGGGCAGATCACTTGAGGTCAGGAGTTCGACACCAGTCTGGAAAACATGGTGAAAGCCCGGTCTCTACTGAAAATAGAAAGAAAATTAGTGGGGCATGACGGTAGGTGCCTGTGGTTCCAGCTACTCAGGAGGCTGAGGAAGGAGACTCACTTCAACCCGGGAGGCGGGGGCTGCAGTGAACAGAGGTCGCACCACTGCACTCTGGCGACAGAGAGACTCCATCTCAAAAAGAAAAAAAATTAAAATACTTTAAATCATTTCACTAAAAATACATCTCAATTTGACAGCTCCTATTAAAAATAAACGTTGCATCTCTCAGGCAAATGAGAAGGTTCCAATTATGTACAAATGAAAGACAAAACACACGCACATATATACACACAGAAATCTTTCTTGCCATTTTCAAAAGTGCTTCTAATGGCAAAATGCCTTTTACCCTGAGAAGCCTCTCACGAATTAAATAGTCTCTTCTTAACCCCATTTTCCACCTGGTTGAGAGGAGTTGTAGAAAGTGATAGCAGGCTGGGTGCGGTCGTTCACGCCTGGAATCCCAGCACTTTGGGAAGCTGAGGTGGGAGGGCTGCTTGAGGTCAGGATGGGCAACATAGTGACACCCTGTCTGCGCAACCTAGTGAGACCTTGTCTCCACAAAATAAAAAAACAAATCAGTCGGGCATGGTGGTGTACGCCTGTGGTTCCAGACAATCAGGAGGCTGAGGTGGGAGGATCCCTTGAGCCCAGGAGGTCGAGGCTGCAGTAAGCTATGATCGTGCCGCTGCACTCCAGCTTGGGCGACAAAGTGAGACCCTATCTCTAACAACAAAAAAAAGTTGACAGCAAAACTTGACAAGTTGTATTTCAGGAGATACATTTCAGGAGGACTTTTAATTCCCAGTGCATGCCAGCCAGCTGTGGACTTCCCGATGATGCAACAATCGTGTGCCACTTGGAACTTTTTTTTTGAAACAGTCTCACTGTGTCATCCAGGCTGGAGTGCAGTGGCACGATCTCGGTTCACTGCAACCTCTACCTCTGGGGTTCAAGTGATTCTTCTGCCTTAGTCTCCCAAGTAGGTGGGATTACAGGCGCCCACCACCACACCCAGCTAATTTTGTATTTTTAGTAGAGACGGGGTTTCACCATGTTGACCAGGCTGGTCTCGAACTCCTGGGAAAACTTCCTTAATATTTTGTTAAACAGAGACTTAGGCACATACAGGTCTTCTCTGAAGGCCCAGGCCCTAGGAAGTTTATACATTCATTGTCTCTTGAAAGTATCCCTCAAAAGCAACGAGACATAAAGGAAGACCTTCAAAGCCATGCAACCAAATTTGAGAATGTGAGCAAGATAGCAAGATGGGAGAGCATGGAGAAGATAAAATGGGAACACTGGCCACATGTGCGGACCGCTGTTCCCTGTCCTTCTTACCAGCTGGCTCTGCGTTGGCGTTCCGGTGGCTCTCCATGTCCACCTCCCCTTGTTCTGCTGAAAACAAGAAGAAAACACACAGAGAGGCTCAGTGCGACAGAGAACCCTCTCCTCAAAATACACACAAAATACTTGGGCTTTCCTGAGGTTGACGCTCCTATTGCTTGGATGAGAGCACTCAGTTCTGAACCCCAAGACCCACTGGGAATATGGAGTCTAACACTCAACTAAGTGAAGACTTTGCCAGTATTTTTTCTTTTTCTTTTTGTATGAGATGGAGTCTTGCTCTGTCACCCAGGTTGGAGCGCAGTGGTGCGATCTCCGCTCACTGCAAGCTCCACCTCCCGGGTTCACGTTATTCTCCTGCCTCAGCCTCCCCAATAGCTGGGACTACAGGCACCCGACACCACACCCGGCTAATTTTTTGTATTTTTAGTAGAGATGGGGTTTCACCATGTTAGCCAGGATGGTCTCGATCTCCTGACCTTGTGATCCATCCGCCTCGGCCTCCCAAAGTGCTGGGATTACAGGTATGAGCCATCGCGCCCGGCTGCCAGTATTTTTTCATGCATGGCACAGGCAGAGATAAACTTCAACAGGGTAATCCAAGCAGCTTTATTTTCCTCTATTTTAAGGGTTGCTTTCTTCTCCCTAAACACTGAGGAACACGCACATGGAAGCCCTTTCTATACATATATAAAAAAAAGTACATGCATCTATGAAAATAAGATTCTTAATAACTGCCCCCAAACTCATCAAACAAATGCAGATGGCTGGGCACGGTGGCTCACGCCTGTAATCCCAGCACTTTGGGAAGCTGAGGCAGGTGGATCACTTGAGGTCAGGAGTTCGAGACCAGCCTGGCCAACATGGTGAAACCCCGTCTCTACTAAAAAATACAAAATTTAGCTGGGTGTGGTGGCGTGCACCTGTACGCCCAGCTACTCGGGGAGACTTACGCAGGAGGATCGTTTGAACCCCGGAGGTGGAGGTTGCAGTGAGCTGAGATCGCACTACTGCACTCCAGCCTGGGTGACAGGGCGAGACTGTCTCAAAATAAAAATAAATAAAAACAAATGCAGAGGCTGGGCACAGTGGCTCACACCTGTAATGCCAGCACTTTGGGAGGCCCAGGTGGGCAGATCACAAGGTCAAGAGATCAAAACCATCCTGGCCAACATGGTGAAACCCTGTCTCTATTAAAAATACAAAAATTAGCTGGGCGTGGTGGCGTGCACCTGTAGTCCCAGCTATTTGGGAGGCTGAGGCAGGAGAATCACTTGAACCCAAGAGGCAGAGGTTGCAGTGAGCCAAGATCATGGCACTGCACTCCAGCGTGGGTGACAGAGCGAGACTGTCCCAAAATAAAAATTAAAATAAATAAAAATAAATGCAGAGAATCTCAGATTAGCATCTTTTCAGTACCTGGGGAAAGGGGACTTTCTTCCTTTATCTACCCCCCACTGATCATCCTTCTCAGGTTGAATCGGCTCTCCTACCCCGCCTTCTACCTCCCCGAGAATGCAGAGTGAGATAAGTGAGGACTCAGACCACTAAGAACCGCCCCAGCCATCAAAGGACAAGAGAGCCAAGGGGTCTTGTGTACCCAGTTTTCTTCCTCCTCCAGCATTTTTCCCAGTCTTGTTTCTATTCCCAAATTTCTTTTTTTTTAAATTATTATTAGTATTTTTTTGAGACAGAGTTTCGCTCTGTCGCCCAGGCTGGAGTGCTGTGGCGCAATCTCAGCTCATTGCAACCTCCGCCTCCTGGGTTCAAGCGATTCTCCTGCCTCAGCCTACAGAGTAGCTGGTATTACAGGCACGCATCACCATGCCCAGCTAATTTTTTGTATTTTTAATAGAGATGGGGTTTCACCGTTTTAGCCAGGATGGTCTCAATCTCCTGACCTCGAGATCCGCCCGCCTCAGCCTCCCAAAGTGCTGGGACTACAGGCCTAAGCCATGGCGCCCGGCCCTCTATTCCCAAATTTCTATTAAAAAATGTTTCAAACATGCCACAATGCAAACAGGGTCATCTCCCCAAATGTTGTCGGTGTCGCTTCTTTTCCGACGCACAGCATAAGCCAACAGAATTGGAAACGCGTAAGAGATGCACAGATCTATATATATTTATTTCTTTCCAGTGTTGGTGTGAAGAAACACCTACGTTTTCAACACAAAGAGAAGCAGCAGAAGCAGCTCATTGAATCTGTGGCCATGCGTTTCCCACTCACAAAGACCGTACTATTTGTAAAACGGCCCCATCTGTGGTTCGAATGCCTTCATAAAGGGACACGTTTGTACGGTGCAGCAATGTAACTTTTTTTTTTTTTTTTTTTTTTTTTGAGACAGAGTCTCGCTCTGCCACTCAGGTTGGAATGCAGTGGCGTGATCTTAGCTCACTGCAACCTCCGCCTCCAGGGTTCACGCCATTCTCCTGCCTCAGCCTCCCGAGTAGCTGGGACTACAGGCGCCCGCCACCACACCCGGCTAATTTTTTGTATTTTTAGTAGAGACGGGGTTTCACCGTGTTCGCCAGGATAGTCTCAATCTCCTGACCTCGTGATCTGCCCGCCTCAGCCTCCCAAAGTGCTGGGATTACAGGTGTGAACCACCGTGCCGAGCTAGCAGCATAACTTTTAACAACAGCAGCAGAGGCAGCCTCGCCAGTTTATACTACACGAACTCATGGTTTCATCCATTCTTCCCTAACCACTAAATGACTCCCACATAAAGAGGCCAAAGTTCTATGATTTAAGAAAAAGAAAGAGAGGAAAAACCCCCAAAGAGGAGAACATTCGAAACGATCTGAAAATGTTCAGCACAAATGTGATTTGTTCTCTGCTGGTGGCAAGTTGTCAACACGGGTGCATTTTGCAGCCAACTGTCCTGGCTAGAAACTGAAAACGTGCATTCATTTCAGAGGACAAATAATTTCTCCTTCCCCCCTCATTGGTTAAAAAGCATAAAAGATATTCTTTTTATTCCTGTAATTTTATAAAACACTACATAAAAGCTGGCAAGTTTTAAAGAGGGAAAAAGTCAATTGAAAAGAATAAAGTCTCACAAGGGCAAAGTCCATCTGGGGCAACAGTTCCAATATCACGGACCTCTCAGGAGAACTGGTTTCATGAGATGCTCCGTACACCCCCACCCACGAACCCTTCCTGTCAAAACTTAGACCAAGCACGCCACATCTGACAAGTCAACTTCAAACAATTCGTGGTGCTTTTCTTTCAGGTTAGAAATCATTTTTAGCTATTAGAACCATTAAGCAAAGTAATATGCCTTTAATGGGTCCCTATGCTTTGTGAATATATATTTATACACACACACACCATGCACTTGGGGCCAATCCTGAGACCATATACCTGCGGATCACTGTCTAGCAGTGGCTAATCTTTAAATGCTGTTAGGACAGACATTTTGGGAAACACACAGGACATTCTGGACTCAGTCTTGTGGTCACTGGGGGGCAGCTTTCATTGCATCAGACTTGAGACACCTTGGGACACATCCTTCAAAGAGTGGGGGGCTGTAAAGGTGACCTCTGTGAGGTGACCAGACCCATGTGGGTCAGGGTTTTGTGCCCTCACACCATACAGTGCCCCAACACAGGAGGATCAAACCATCTGTGCTCAGCTAGAACTACCGCTAAACCATAAGGGAGGCTGTGCCTCATTTCCACAAGAGGGCAAATAAGAAAAGTAAAATAAGAAAAAAGCAAAAGGAATATGAAAAAAGAGGAAAATATGAAAAAAAAATCAGAAAAGTCAAAGAAATAAGAGGAAAAGAATGAAGAAAAATGGAGAATAAAAGTAAAAGAAAAATAAGTAAAATAAGATAAAAAAAGAAAAAGCAAAAAGGGAAACAAATAAGAAAAAGAAATGAGAAAAAGAAAAAGAAATAAGAAACAAGAAAAGTAAAAGGAATAAGAAAAAAGAAAAAGGGCCAGGCACAGTGGCTCATGCCTGTAATCCCAGCACTTTGGGAGGCTGAGGCAGGCAGATCACCTGAGGTCAGAAGTTTGAGACCAGCTTGGCCAACATGGAGAAACCCTGTCTCTACTAAAAATACAAAAATTAGCTGGGTGTGGTGGTGTGTGCCTATAGTCCCAGCTACTCAGGAGGCTGAGGCAGGAGAATCGCTTGAACCCAGGAGGTGGAGGTTGCAGTGAGCCACGACTGTACCACTGCACTGCAGCCTGGGCAACAGAGTGAGACTTCATCTCAAAAAATAAATAAAAGAAAAATGAAAAAAGAAGAAAAGTAAAAAAAGAAAAAGAAATAACATATAACAAAGAAGAAAAGTAAAATAAATAGAAGAAAAAGAAGTAAGAAAAAATGGAAAGAAAGAAAAAAAGAAATAAGTAAAAGAAAGAAAAAGTTAGAATCAATTGCGCTGAAGAACAAGTTGGTGGACTTCGGAAACGGAAGGAAAATCCAGGTACAATCTGTGTGTTTCAGGCATATGGGAGAATCTGAAGAAGACGCCCGGGGAGGCTCTGCGCTCAGACATGTGAATAGGGACCTGACCACCCACCAATTCCCAACAGGCCTTAGAATGTGAAGATCAGGAGATGTTTGGGTGATTCCTCAACATATGAATTTTGTTTTTCTAGGAACCAAGATGTGCACCTGTTTGGAACACTGATCACAGAAAGAGTTAAGAACCGCCTCATAGGAAGTGCAGTGAGAAATGCAAGTCAAGGGCTGAAAAGGTTGAAGATTTAAAAATCCATGCATGACCTGGAAAGTCAAATCCTTAGGACGTGAGTGAGCTTAACCTAGGATACTGCAGGGAAGCGGGTGGCCACCCCGGGTCCCAGTTTGTTCCCTTGGCAGGGATAGACTTGGGGACAAAACTCATTAAAACATGGAAGTCACTGCCCTGTTACATTTACGTTTAAAAGAACATATCTGTACTTCATTTTCTGAAGCTCTTGTGCAGAAATATGGTTTGCTATAATGAGCTTCTGTGCATCAAGAAAGGCAAAAGCATACGGAATTGAAGGCAGAGAATCTGTCACGTGAGTGAGAATCCCATTGTGGTGGGAAT